GACAACAGCTATAATGATAACAACTATAATTGCAACAACAAAACAACAACTTGAATATCAGAGATGCCTTGTCCAACTCTTTGTTTTCAGCATGGGGGGCACGGGGTTGAATCCACCCTCTGCTTTGACCTCTATGAATCAGGGACAGCAGTAGGCTACAAGGGCTCCTGAGGGATAAAATGCCCAAACCGGACCAGCTAAGGTTCTAGGCTGCCCATGAAAAGATTGGGGTTCCAGTTCATCCAGCGATCCCCGATTTCCTTCCCTTCCAGAACTTCCTCACCACATTGTGAGAGTGACGGAGGCCTTCACAAATGGCCTATGCTGCTTATTTCCATTCCTTGAGCATTTTATGTTCGGTGTTTCCCTCCTTGGCAGCCTGAGCCAGGCGGGGCAGAGTCTTGGCAGCTCGTCTTCGGCGGCCCGGTGTCTTCTCCTTGCCCGATGGAATTTACCAGCCAAGATGAAGACCTCCCTCCAGGCGGGGTGATCTGCGCCACCTGAGACTTGGAGGTTGGGTGGAGGGGAACCGCCATGAATGTTTTACAGAAATGGATTCTCGCCTTCTCTTCCGCTTTGCTTTTTAGGATTTGGTGTGTCTGGGGCTCTGGAGTCCTTTTGTGCTACAGATGAACCATGGCTCAGAGTAGCAGAATGATGGGAGGGCCAAGTCTGCTCAGAGGTACCTCGGAAGAGAGGCCTGGCAGGCAAAGGCTTGGTCCTTCCAAAATTTCATGCGCAAAAGCAAAGAAACAAACATGAATGAAAACAGAATGGAAACTTTGCACAAACTTTCTGAAGTCCCTCTGTCCTTCCCCCAAATCTGCCATTGGGGACTTTATAGAACAAAGTTCTGTTCTGATGCACACTGGAATGCTATGATTTTAACCATGTAAGAATCTACTTAAAGGCAACTGTTGTTGTTGTTAACAGTATTATCAGCACTTCATCCACCTGTCATGCAATGAAATAACTCAACCATGTCGAGAAGAGCTGTACAATCATCACCAGATTCAGTTCTAGAACATTTTCTTCTTCCTTGGACTCATTGTTATCCATATAATGATTTTAAGGCAACTGGTTTTGAATAGTGACAAACTTAGACGGTGATTGTGAGGAATCATGAGATACAGGCATTGAAATAGCTTAGGATGTAACAATTCGCCAGAAAAGAAGCACCCGTGGTATTTTCAATGGCTTTGTATGCATGTGAAGGTTGGACATTGAATAAGACCAAAGGCCAATCGGTGTGCTTGAGCTATGGTACTGGTGAAGAATATCTGTCTTGGAGGAAGTAGAGCCAGAATGTTCCTTAGAGGCTAGGATGGTGACGCTTCATCTCACATACTGTGGACATGTTGCCAGGAGAGACCAGTCCCTGGAGAAGGACATCATGCGGTAAAGTGGAGGGGCAGCGAAAAGGAGGAAGCTTTCTACGAGGTGGATGGACACAGTGGCTACCTGAATGGGCTCAAACAAAGGCTCAGTTGTGAAGACGGCCCAGGACCGGGCAGTATTTTGTTCTGTTGTCTACAGGGTCATTGACTTGATGGCGCCTTGCAGCAGCAACAACAACAACAACAACAACAACAACAACAACAACAGCAGCGTTCTTATTATCATTGTTTTACTATGTGTTGTCTATGGCTGCAGAATCCTTGCCCAAACACCTGGTGGCTTAAAAGTTATCAAAAAACAACAAAAAAGTGACCCACGCCCACAATCTCACTGTTTCCATGGAATATGGTCATGCTATCACATAGGCACGTGTGGACACACCATGCATGTTACAAACATACACACACCAGCGTATCAGGAAAGACTGGCATATTCGCCAGGTGTAAGCATGCTTGGCAGTCAGGATGCCGACCCTGAAACACATAACCTGGTCAAACTCTCCTGGGAGGACAGGGCATACTCACTCATAAATCCTCCCCATCAAACCCTAGCAAAGTGGGGGGCGGGTGGGAGAGAGGAAACTCCCAAGAAGGTGAGTAACAGTGGGAAGAAGAGGCGAGAGGTTATTTGCCACACACCAGAGGCAAACATCAACAGCCATACTTGGGTTCTCATAAGGCACAGTTTGAGGACAGGTACTAGGAGTTAAGGACTCATTGCTGTTGGCCCTGTCCGGTGGCAATGTTACTGCATCTACTGATCCCTGTTGGTACCAGGGATTAGGCATTAGGTTGTTAACCTCAGGGCAGGCTGTTCAAACTCAACAGCAACTCCACAGGAGAAAGATGAGGCCGTCTGCCCTCACACAGTCTTGGGAAGGCTAGACAGGGTCACTATGAGTGAGCATTGACCGGAGGGCAGTGGGGCTGGTTTTGGGTATCTGTTCTTGTTGCTAGACCCATGTAGACCCTTTGAACAACAGAATGAAACACTGCCAGGTCCTGCCCCGTCCTTGTAATTGTTCCTATGCCTGAGCTCATTGCTGGAGCCATTGTGTCCACCTCATTGAGGGCCTTTTGCTTTGAACGAGCCCTCCACTTTACCAACCATGATGTCCTTCTCCAGGGACTGGTCTCTATCCAAAGGGAAAGGCTACCTTTGGTGCACATGTGCTCTGGGAGACACAAGAAAAAAGATGGCCCATGGCCTCTGCATAGCTGATGGCAAACTATGGGCTCAGCAGTGTCCACATTTAAGCGACTGGCCAGCAGGTCATGGGCAGCAGATTGTTCCAGTCCTGCGCCACCCTCACAATCGTAGCTACCTCTGAGCCCATTGTTACAGCCACGGTGTCAAGCCATCTCAGCGAGGGTCTTCCTCTTTATCACTGACCCTCTCTCTTTGCCAAGCACGGCATCCTTTCCAGAGACGGATCCTTCCTGATGATATTCCCAAAGCACCGAGACAAAGTCCCTCCACCCTCCATTCTAAGGAGCATCTGGCTGTACTTCTCCCAGGGCAGGTTTGTTCTCTCTTCTGGCTGTCCATGTTCTTCGCCAACGCCGTCATTGAAGGACACAGGTTCTTCCCCAGCCTTCCTCCATCT